TTGTACCCCTTGGATATGATTACTTTTTCTAGTTCCTTGATTTCTAATTCACCTAGATTCCCTTACTGTATACGCTATCAATAACATCAACCCCAGTATGAGCCTGCGTTTTCAATGAGGCAGGACTGAAGTTTGGAGAAAACTGTCCTGAAATTCTGTGTTGGAGTGTGTCCAATTCATACATCAGTTTAGGGACTCTGAGCCAGACAGAATTGAGACAGATTCATCTACTGGAAACGTGTTCACTTGAGACAGTTTTGCTCTCCACAAATTTCTACATTTTGCAATGCAGATACACAACCTACCATATGTTATGCTCAGTTTTTATATTATTTATAACTACTGTATGTTTACATTCTAAGCTTTTGTTTTTTGTTTGAATTATATGTTTCAGAGAAATTAACCTATAAGCACAGAAGGAAGCTGTTTAGCCCATTGTGCCTATGCTAATTCTTTGAAAGGTCAGTCATGATTAATCCCATTGCCCTGCTGTTTGTCTGTAAATTTGTAGGTTTTCCAACTATATCTGAAATCAGCTTCCACCAGTTTTTCAGGCACAATATTCCATATTTCAGCACCTCAGCTCTTGAGTCGAGAAACGAATCCTCATCTTTTCTATAAATATTTTAACCATAATATTGAACTCATGACTTCTAGTTATTGAGCACCTTGCTAGGGAGATAGTTTTGCTTTGTTAAAAGCCTGAAATGTTGAAAACCTCTAATGTCACCTTTTAATGTATCTGCCCAAGAAGGACAGTACAGTGTTAACATTTCTTCTTCACTGATAATGTTCTGGTAAACGTTATTTGTACTCTTTCTAATGCCTTTACATAATCCTGAAGCATCCACAATTCTTTAGCCGAGACCTGAACAGTGTTTTCTAAAGTTCTAAACTAATCTTTATTTTTATGCTTTAATCCTTTATTTATAAATCCCAGTATCCTACATGCTTTTCAGTCACCTTATCAAATTGCCCTGCCAATTATTCTATAGTGACTTCCCATATTACTTCTCTGTGTGCATTGCTTTATATGTTTTTATATTGAACTGATTTCATAGTTCTGTCTGTGTCTTTCTGGAGTTATTAACTACCCTTTATCATAATCTATTTTACCAAATAATACATAAACTTAATGTTGTTCCCTGTATCAGAGTCTAGGTCACTTATAAAAATTGCAAAGCATAATAATCCCAACCTGACCCTAGGGGAACCCCACTGCAAACCATCTTCTAACCTGAAAATATCAGTTCACCGCTCTGCTTTGTTTTGTTTTATGTACCAATTTTGTATGCAAGCCACCATTTTAATTGCAGTGCTTAAATCAATATTGTTAGAACACTCGCTGATTTTCATTTATTTTTTGTTTTATTCTTTTTTAAATTTTGACTTGTAGCTGTGAACTAGTAATTGTGTGCTGAGAATGATGTGTAGACTTTGGGACAGCTTGTGGTAAAGAGAAAAGAACAACCAAATCAGCTTTTGTTTGTTTGTGAGGCCGGATCTGGAGGTTATTCACAAGCTGAATCTTGATCAAAAGGGCTCCTGCAGACACAGCGACCCCAGTAAGAATATTGTGTTTAAAAAATTTAGCAGAAGTTGGGTATTAACAAGGTCAGTACCTGGGAATTGGTACAAGCAAGTCTGGAAGAGACTGTGTTCAAAAAGATGGTAGTTGTTGAATTGGTAATTGAGGCCTCGGGAAGAAATGTTCAGTCTATCGGGATGGGATCAGAATTGAAGTTTTTTTTTTGAATTGTGTTTTCTCGGGGAGATGAGCTTGGCAGCTGACACCACAACATGAAGATTTAAATGTGCTCTGCCTAATCTGCCACACCACTTTTGGAAGCCCAGAGGGTAGGAAGCTGAGTTAGAAGTATTAATACCTATATCTGAGTGAACTGAGAAGATGACCTGAATTAGCAGTTCCAGAAAAGCAACCAGAGTCCACATCTAAGCATGTGAAACAACACATCATGAAAGCCATTTAAGTAATTTGGCCGGTTTTGTTATTTTGTTTGTACCTGAACTGTATTCATTTGTTTGTCTTTTATGTGAATGGGGGCAAAAGCAAATGTTTTGGATTTAAAGTTTAGGCATTAATCAGTTTACCTTGTTTAACTTTTCCTCTGCTAAAATTATTGTGTATTTAATAAATAGTTAAATTGTTTGCTTAAGATACCTATCTGGAATTAATTATTCACAAAGTTTGGGATTAGTATTGAAAATTCTGGTCAGGACCACTGGACTAACTATTAGGGTCTTGATGGTTTAGTTTTACTCCGTTGTCAATGCAGATGTGAAAAGACTGATTTTGTTTGGCTGTCCATCTCCGTATTGTAACAATATAACAGGCCTCCTGTGTAGTACTTTATCAAATGCTTTCTGAAAGTTTGCATGTACGTCTGTATGAACTTAATCAACCTTTCTTGTTTAATCAAAGAATTCAGTCAAGTTACTCAGGCATGATTTTTCTGCAAAAAACCCATACACGCTTCCTTTGATTAACGATTTCCTTCCCAAACAAAAGTTTATTTTATCTGTTAGTGGTTTCCAATAACTTCTCATTATTTCAATCTTGGAGATTGCTAATGTGACCAATTCCCCTACTATTCTATCTTTGCTCAGTTTAGCAACCTAGGATGCATTTCATCTGGATCAAGAGACAAATCAGTTTTCAGTCATTCAAATCTTTTTGTCATGTCTTTTCTATTTATTATTATCTATCCATAATTTCCCCCTAACAAAAACAGAAATAACTGGAAAAACGCATCTGATCTGGCAGCATCTGTGGAGAGAAGGCAGAATTAATGTTTCGCATCCAATGATGCTTCTTCAGAACCATTGAAGCAGCATTTGCAGTTCTTTCAGTTTTTCACAACTTCCCCCTTTTTTTTTGAATGTACTGCAGCAACAACAGTCACTCCTTTGTGAAGATACATGCAAAGCACACATTTAATACTTTTACAATGTTACTTGTCTCTACATGAAAGCTTTCTTCTGGTCTCTAATAGGATCAACCTTTTCACTAGCTAGCTGCTTTTACTTTATACCATATGTTTGGAAACAAATAAACTCAAATTTAAAAAGATACCAGCTCTCTAATGAGGTACGTGTCTCTTTATACACTTAACATATTTGAACAGGTTTTTTTATGACAGTGGAACCTGAACCCAGATATTGTGGTCTAGAGGGACATTACACCTGTGCCACAGACATCGACAAAGCACGAGTTCAGGCTTGTAAATTTCAATGTAATTGTGGGTCAAGACTATGCCCTCCAGCCCCTGCAGTGCTTACAATTTATATCATAATAAAATGATTTATGATTCAATTTAATTTTGCTTGCTAATCTTTTCTCATAATGTTTTTGTCTCCCTTATGAACTTTTCATTTCTCTTCTGTACTTTCCTTGATTTTTTTTTTAGTTATTAATTGAATTTTGCTCCTAGCATTTTTGGAAGTCTCCTATTTCTATTTCATTTTGATTTTTGTTTCCTTTTGTCATTAGAATGGACGAGCTGTGGATGCTGTAACTTCTCCTTTGAAAGGAATATGCATGGTTTTTACTTGGATTAGCTTTTCCTGAACGCCTTCCATTGCTCTGGAATAATAGACAAAGAAAAAGTGGAGGGAGACATAACTAGTGTGGATTAATATTGTAGTATTAAATCAAAATAATTTACTAACTGATGCTGGAAATGAGTCAATTTGTCTTTAAATGTGAAACAGAGAGAGAGAGATAGCTGTTGCAGTGTTGGGAAGATACATTATAAAGCTCAAAACATGAGAAAGAGATGGAGAAATTCTTCTGCAAATTTCAAAGGTATCTAATAAAAATGGGGTGGTAATATTCAAAAGTTTTATTTATTATAAAGTGACGAAAATATACCATCGAAAATGGTGAAGAAGAACTTTCATGGTCAATGACTTTAATCTGACAAGGAAAGAATTAGCGTTGGATCTGATGGATGGTTGTGGGAAATGAAGTGGAGTAAGCGGTGTAAGATATCATCTGCCCAACAATGGACATAACATAATTCCTTTTAAAGTAACTATGAAAACAGACCAGAAGACATTGAATTTTGAAAAAAATTCACAGCTAATTTGTGTGATTTAAGAGGGAGCGAGTACAGGTGAATTGAAAAAGATGATTCCAGGTAAAACAAAAATATGAAGAATACCTTTGACCTTGCTTAAACCAGGTCTCTGTTCATGCAGCCACATCATAATCCCATTTAGCAATTGTGCCAAATATCATTGTTATTAATGAGACTAATTTCTTTAATTCCAATGCAACATATTAGCAATTTTGTTTGAGTATATTACAGGTTAATTTTTAAAAGTTACATAAAAGATCTTAAAGTGTTCGTGGTATTGAAGCAACTTGTCCACATATTATACGTACTTTTATTTGTGCGAGCAAATCTCTTATGGGCTTGCCTTTGGCAAGCCCATGCTGCTAATCACTTGTTACAGTGGAGCCAAGATTTTGTTGGACCCTTTAAGGCAGCATGTCATAATTGTGGTAAATAACTAGTGAACTAAGGTCAACAAGAATTATATTGATTTTTGTTTTGGCAGATTGCCAGTAGTTGTAAATTTCTGGCTCTTGGTCAATCTGTAAAATTCCTTCAGCAACTACAATCGACACGAACATGATGTGACTAGGACCTTTTTTGTATATATTTTTAAAATAGTTCAGTTGCAATTTGTTAATATTTTACCCAATGTGACAGATTCTGACAATACGTGTATCAGATAATAGAAATTTAAAATCATAGAACTTAGATTTTTATGATGGAAGCTTTTTGTGACTGTCGTAACTGTAGTCTGCCTTTCTACCACTACCATGTGCTGTTTACAACATTTCTAACAGTCACCTGCGAAGGCTGTATCTTTATTAGTCTGTGTGGATTAACATGATATTTAGTAGAATTTTAAAGCGCACAGTTCCCTACAAATTCAGGTCATTGACAGCAAACTCTGAATTACCACAGGGAGAAGAAATGGGTGACGGTGGGTGATACATCATTGCGGATCTTCAAGTGGGTACCGGTGACTGACCCTAAAGAGGTAGGTAGAGATGAAAAATCACGCATTCATATTTCATGATTATTTAGTTAAATTGATATAAATTTTTTGTCTGTGTTTAATATCATGGATTTGGACCTACAACACAAAACAGCCCGACTTTAAAACTAAATGCCAGATATTGATATTGGAGCTAGGTTGCATTGTTGGAATAGGGAGCTTTAATTTGAGTACCTCATGCTGATACACAGAAAAATGTTCAATTTTTCAACGGAAAATTCACAAACCAAAAAGTAAGTTGAACTAATTCGTATTATCTCAGCCCCAGGGTTAGAGGAAAGGTAAATACTTCACCTCTTAAATATAATTGATATTGTCAACCAATCAGTTTTCCTTTTCTTCTGTATTATAAACTGTTGCGATGGTACAAAATTTGATATTCTTGCATTTGTCCTGATAAGTGCAAGATGTAGCTTTGAAAGCATGTCTCTGTTCATCAATATTCTAGTCCTGATCTATCGGGAGACTCAGTATTTTCTCAAGATCAGGCGTGATAACGCACCCTGTCTGTTCCACTTAAAACAAAATCAGTGTACAATCGGACAAAGTCAGCATAATTTTTTTCAAGGGAATCATGATTTAAAAAATATTAGAGTTCTTTGAGAATGTAACAAGCTTTGACAAAAGTGCTTAGTGATACCAGCAGTCACCTAAGAATCAAATGCTCTAATTGATAATTGACATTCAATTGACTTTTTGATTTTTCTCCTTGTTTCCAAAGGATATCCGAGCTCCCCGAATGGCTCAATTGGTAAGTTTACCTCTTATTTATTTTTTCACAGAACATGGCTGGTTCAGCATTTATTGTCCAACCCTGATTGCACTTGAGAAAGGTTGGTGGTAAGGCACCAACTTGAATTACTGCTGTCCATGTGGTGTAGATACATGCACAGTGCAGTTAGGAAGAGACTTCCAGGACTTTGCAACAGTGAAGGAACAGCAATTATACTACCAAGTCAGATTGGTGTGCGGCTTGGTGCGGAGCTTACAGGTGGTGGTTCCTCCTTGTCCTTTTAGAGGCTTATGATTGCAGGTTTGGAAGGTATGGTTGAAGTAGCCTGGGTGAGTTGCAGCAATGAACCTTCCAGACCAGGAGTATTTGGTTAGAAACCTGAACTGCTTATTCAAAACTGAGAAAGTCTAAGGTCTCGGCTGTAAATGCGCTGCTGCATTGGTTGTGAAGGAGGTAAATGTTGAAGGTTGTGTTTGGGGTGCTGGTCATGAAAGCTGTTTTGTCCTGGATGATGTCAAGTTTCTCAGGTTTTGTGGAATTTGCCAGTGGAACGTAGTCCAAACCACTCCTGGCTTATGCCTTGTCCATGGTGAATAGGCTTTGAGGAGTCAGGAGAAAACTTGCATTCTTCGGAATTCCCATTCTGTGCTATATTCTTGTATCCACAGTATTTATCTGGTTTATCCAATTCAGTTTCTAGTCAATAGTAAATTCCAGGACATTGTCAAATTGCCAGTATCAATGGTCATTACCTGGCAATTGTGTGGCTTGAATATTACTTGCCTCTTATTAGATTAGGACTGGATGTCATTCAGATCTTGCTGTATCTGGATATGAACAACTTCAATATCTGAGGAATGCTGTGATCCCAGCTGATGCTATTATCGGATAGGTCAGATCCCAGAATGAAATCTGGCTTGATGAATTATATGTTTTTTTAAATTTTAATTTAAAGTGGTCATCTATTACTGAAACATAAGCACACAAGATCTTGGATTTAACAATAAAATAGTTATTCGTTATACAAAAGAAATAAAAATAAAACAAATCAAACTATCTGCATATAATGCATTTTGAAAATTTAACAAAATATGGCGAAACGAAATCCCATCTACTCCCCAACACAACTTCACAGTTACTCAAAAAAAAAGATAAATCTCCATTCTGTATCAGATCTGTAGGTTTTACTTAACTGCTTCTCACTTTCAGTCCTGTGAACGACAAAACCTTTTCTTTTGACATTTACAGCTGAGACCTTAGACTTTCTCAGTTTTGAATAAGCAGTTCAGGTTTCTAACCAAATACTCCTGGTCTGGAAGTTTTCAAAAACTATGCTGTCACTGAGGTAAATTATTTCCTTAACTGCACTAAATCATGGAATCTGTACAGTGCAGAGAGGCCATTTGGCCCATTGAGTCTGCATTTAATGCCCGAAAGAGCATCCCACGTAGGCCCAGCATTCCCCACCCTATTCCTGTAACTCTGCATTTACCTTAGACTAATCCACCTAGCTGGATACCTGTGGGCACTATGCAGCAATTTGGCATGGCCATTCCACCTAACCTTCACATCTTTGGACTATGGGAGGAAACTGGAGTACCTGGTAGAAACCCATGCAGACGTGGGGAAAAGTGTGCAAACTCTACCAGCTTTGGGTGACTGTGTGTCGATTCTAGGTCCCTACTGCTGTGAGGCAGCAGTGCTAACCACTGAGCTCCAGTGCTGCCATTGAACATTTCCTTTTCCTAGGAGAGACCATGCTTGCATCTGACTTCAGTCAAGTCTCCTTTGAGCTGACACCAAAAGCTTTTGAAATAAATTTTTAAAAAAGTTTGCTTATCCCAGACTGTGGCTAAGCTAATGACTTAATGTTTTCTCTCTCTGGCCATAAACCCTAAAGTATAAACAACCTTCCATTAACACTCCAGGAAGCAGTTACTGGTTTACATATCATGGTTCTGGAAAAACTAATCTAGTTAGTTTTTAAACCCCTTCACAAAAATAAATCATCATTCACATGCCACCAGTTTAAAAGTCAAGCCTTATCTCTCTGTATTTCTATAACAGATATATCTTGGTCTGTCTCTATCTCCGACCAGGCCTGGAGAAGCCGCATTACTCTTGTGCAAACTCCGCTCATTTCACTTCACCATTGGTAGCCATGCCTTCAGCTATTCCATAGATATCATAAAAATTCACAGCATGAAAAATGGCCATTTGGTCCTTTACGTCTTCACTGGAGGTCAGAGAACTATCCAGCCTTATTCCACATTCTGGCTCTTGGTCTCTACCCTTCAGCTAAACTTAATACTTTTTAAATGCATCAAGCATTTCAGCTTCTACCATGTTTGCAGGCAATATGTTTCACTTCCTGCCACTCTCTGAATGAAAACATTTCCCCTTGAATATTCTCTACGTCTCGTACTTATTACCTTTAAATCTAAGCTCCCCTAATTATGAGCCCCTCAGCCAAGGAATTTGGGCCTTCACAGCACTCCTGATTAATTTTATGCACTTCAGTTAGTCTCCTCTGTTCCAAGGAGAACAACTAATGACCAAACTATCTTGTCTTTCCTCATAGACAAAATTATCCAGTCCAGACAATATCTTTGACAATATGCTTTGTGCCTTTTCTCATGCCATAACCAGAACTGCATGCTGTATGTCATCTGGTGTAGTGCAATCTGCGACTATACAGTTCTAGCATAATCTCCTTGCTCTATGTCTTGGCTAATCTAGGCAATAATGCCATATGACTTCTACACTACGTCATTATCTGTCCAGTGATCTTCAGGGATCAGTGGGCATATGTTCATTCTGTTCCTCTAAACCTCTTGGTATTATACTAGTCATTGTGTGTTCCCTTGACTTTTAACCTTTTCCAAATGCATTGAACTCCACTTCCCATTGTTTTTTATTCAACCTGACTAGTCCATTGACATCCTCCTACAGTTTGTAGCTTTCTTCTTCATTATCAACTACATTTGCAATTGTTGCATCATCTGCAAATTTCATTATACCATCTGTGTTCAAATTGAAATAATTGAGGAAGTACAAAAACAAGGGGTGTAGTACTGAACCCAGAAAACATTGTTGATCATCAACCTTTGCTTAATATACCTGAGTCATTCAGATTTGGCTCCAGCTTGTCACTTTGTCTTGGATTCCGTGGACCTTTACCTCTGTGGCCAGTCTGATATGTGGGACTTTAACAAAAAGATTGCTAAAATCCATCTGAACCACATTCAATACACTAATCCCGTGACAATTCTCATTACCTTGTCAAAAAATTCAATCATATTAATAAGACACAACTTTCCAAAAAGAAATCCATGCTTACTAATTAAGCATGGTCAGGAAGGTATATGGCATACTTGCCTTCAACAGACTTTGATTAATCTACTATCTTTCTGAAGATAAGTTAAGACTTGTACTGTCCCATATAACCTTCCCAGTAATTTTCCCACCTCTCTTTATAGGTTAAGAAAATATCTTTCCTGGATTTTACTCGTCAATATGTTTTCATGACTCTTATTTGTTTTCCTAGTTTCCTTTTAATTTCATGCCTTTAAGTCCTTTAGGTTTTCTGCATTTTGCCCTCTTTATCAGTAATTAGCTTTCATTTTTCTCTGTATTTTCTTTAAGGCCTGTGATATGCAAGGTTCTCTGGATTTGTCACACCCTTTATCTTTAATGGAAAATCTTGCTATGAAGTCTCTCAATCTCTTATTGAATTCCTCCCACTGATATGTCATTGCCTCACTTTCAAATAAATGTTTATCATCAATTTTAGCTACATCACACCTCATTTGGATCCTGAATACCAGAATTCCTACCCAATACCTTGATCTTTTTGCCTCTTCCACCTCTTTTAGGATACTCCTTGAAACTTCTTAGACTGAGCTTTTAGTCACCTTTCCTGATAATTTCTTCATTTGTTCAATCATTTTTTTGTCAGCTTTAATAAGCTCCTTTTAGGTGCTTAGGGAAAGTACTGTATAAATACAAGTTGCTGTTGTTAAATGAGGGCTGAAGGGTACTGTCGATTCCTTTGTTGTCTTATTGAAGAGCAATTGAAGAAATTGCTTTAAACTGATTAGGCATCTCATTACTTTATCTGAACTATCAACACCATTTCTCCCCCAGCAAGCCACCCTGCCCCCACCAACTATTGTATAAATGCTGTGCCCTCCACATTTCACATTACTTGTGATGAAGAGTCATCTAGATTCGAAACGTTAGCTTGCTTTCTCTCCATTGATGCTGCCTGACCCACTGTAATCTCCAGCATGTTTTGTTTTCAGTGCAGAAATTAAGTGTTTAATTCAACTTGTCCCTGCCACTTTGCACTGCATTTGTAAAGGAAAGTCTATTGTTACTATGATGTGCCATCAGCTCGAAATTCTTTTTATTGTGGGGGTAATTGCACCTCGGATACCATGGTATTAACCAACTGTACGTTCTATTGACGTTTAGTGGAGGCGTACCAGGGATGGAAGTGTAAGGGTCAAAAGATGGATCAAGGCACAAGGGAGGAAGTATTTATTAGAATTACTTTCATCAGTCTTCTGTTGACTGAATGTAATAAAAAGTTAACCGGAATTACCTGCAAATACATTTCTAGTGAAAAAATGTGCAAGGTTCAATTTCTGTATGGTGGGAAGAATGAAGAATAAATTTAAAAAATGCTTTGCTTTTCTGTACAAGCTGTTTTCTTTTCTACACCCTGTCCTGTTTAAAACAAAACCTGAGTACAATCAGACAGAGTCAACATGGTTTTATTAAAAGGGAATCATGATTAATAAATTTATTAGAGTTTTTTGAGGATGTAACAGGCTGTGGCAAAGTGCTGCAGAGATCTGTGTTGGGGCCTCAACAAATTACAATCTATATCAAAGAAACCTCCTGTGTTATAACCAAATAAAGACAGATAGTAAAGGAAGTTGTGAGGAGGATGCAAAGATATATAAGTAGATTAAATAAGTGGCAAAAAATTAGCAACTGGCTTATGATGTTGGTAGATGTGAGATTGTCTACTTTGTCAAGATGAATAGTATAGCACTGGGCTTGACGGACGTTATGGCCTACTCCTTTTCTCTACGTTCTTAGGACAAATCAAAATCGAAGAACAGTCTTGAAACAAAAAGTACAAAGGGAGACAAAGGCTTCCAGCTGCTGCCTGTTTCGGATAATAGCTCTTCTCCCATCCTCCTGGAACTGAATGGTAAGTGTGTTTAAACTATTCGTGCTTGATGCTCTGAGATGACCTTTTGCATGTAGTGTTTTAATTTTTGTTTACAATTAAATGGCTTGTAAAATAACTTCTGAGGGCTTCAAGATTCACACCTGAAGTAGAGGACTAGAGTTACATGAAGGTCAGACCTGGATGGTAGATACACTTTCCTGAAAATAGTTAAGTTTTTCAAGTCTACTTTTTCTCCCATTGTAATTCCACATACTACCAGATTTTGGACAATTAAATTTCCCAACTTGCCATAGTGGAATTTGAGATGTTAATCTAGTTCGGTACCATAATAACTCCACCACTTCACCATTAGTGTTGATTGGTAATGAACTGTTTAAAACAAAATCTTATCATTTGACATTTTCATGTACAATGTCATATTGCAATAGGACAGTTTTCTTATTCCAACACACAGTAACTTTGTCAGCATAATACCACCAAAAGATATGATAAGAACAATAATATTTCTGTCAGAAATGCTTGTTGTTACAACATTAATTCATCACCTTAAATTAGACTCGTGATTGGTTCCTAAATGTAACCAGCAAAATATCCAATTGATATAAAAGGCTCAAAAGACAATGTCAAAATCTGAAAAAGCAGAGCTTATGAATAAATTTCCTCAAATTTGATAAAGTGAAAGTGTCATGAAACTCCATTGAAATGTAATGTCAAATCTAATTTGAAAGGAATGGCATAGGGCATCTGTAGTGCATTAGGCAGCATCCTTATCTCTGAGCCAGAAGTAACGAATGAGCGCCAACCTAGGACTTGGTGGCCAGGGAAGGTGTGATCATAGTAAGGCCAATCAGACTGGCAGACTGCAACTTCTCCCAACACACCATAATGGCAGATGGTAAGAATGAGAAAGATTCCTGACCTCCTTGTGATGGAAAGAACTTTTGAGCCTCTACCAACGTTATCCATAGCTCCAGAAAACAGCATGCATGCAAACATGCATCCTGCTGCAGCAGCCATAACTCCTTGACTGAACTATGACATACCACCACCATAAGCAGAGAAGCTAGGGAATAAATGCAGGATATATAACTGAAAATATGAAATGATTGATCTCTAGCGCAACTGGTGTTGTGATCTTTGTTATGTTCGCTACAAATTAAATACTAGTAAATGGACTATTTCTTTGGAAAAGTAACACAACGTTAGCTCAGTGAGTAAATGCACTGAATGATACTGAACCCAAACGTTTGAAATCTAATTATTGATCTGCATCTAGTTTTATGGTATCAGTGGCGTCAGTATGCAAAAAACTGTATTTGGTCAAAGTTCTTAGACTAAGGAAGAAGAAACATTTGGCAGGAGTGTTCGTATGGATTGCTTACTGTCTTCAACTTGAAAGAAGTTCTGAAGAAGAATCGTGATGGACTCAAAACATTAGCTCTGTTTCTCTCTCCACAGATACTGCCAGACCTGCTGAGATTTCTCCAGCATTCTCTGTGTTTGTTGACAGTCTTCAACCCCTTTCTTACTCACCACCCAAACGCCTGCTCTTCTCTCAGAATGACTGAACGAAATGCAATAAAGGGCTCAAAGTGAGGACAGGGTTTAGGTTTGTTATTATCACACCCATTGTTATCTGGACTGCCGATACTAACTGGCTGTATTTTATGCAGTAATTGCCAGATTGAGCTCTTCCTTCAATGAAGAGATGGGTGGACTCCTACAGTGGCACTATTTAATAACAACCACATTCAACTGTGCAACACAAACCTGCAAATGCAATAGCCATTTCTCAGCTTAATCTTAATTCCAGTTACTTGATCTGATTGAGCGTCTTTGTGGGGCTCTATGATTAGCCTTAAGGTCACTGAATTAAGTGTGGAGAAACCTTGGGATTGGAAAGAACAGAGTTTAGCTTGGCTTTGATACCAGATATTGCAGAAGAGCTTGATGGCGTTTACTGTCCAGACTCATGCAGGAAAAACGGTCACTGGGAAGAGATAAGCATCTTGGTCACCTAACCTTGCGGGAGTCAGTGTCTCCAGGGAAGCAGGATCAGAAATTAGGGAAAAATCTATTAATTTGCTTTTTTATGACTTTAATAGGCATACATTGTACCTAAACAATTGGATTTTTTTTTCTTGCTTCTAATGATTATTTCAGATTGATTAAAGTGTGACTGCTTTTTAATCTTTCAGATGAGACCAGTAATCAGAGCTCCTTGTCAGATGCCTACCAGGTAAAAGTGGACAGCAGTACAAACTCGAGCCCCAGCCCGGAGCAAAGTGAACCTGTCAGCCCAACGCTTCTGTCTGATTTTAAAGCAGATGACTCTCAGCCTCCCATGCTTGGGCAGGAAAGCATGGAAGGTATGGAGAGCAATAGGAATTATATTGGCTGTTACTGTGTAATCAGTGTGGATATACAAAATTTTCCTTGATTAGTTAATTGGAAGACCATTCAGAGCAGATTGCAGATTGTGCTGAGTTGTCAGAGGTGCCATGTTGTCTTTAAAATGATTCATCACCATGCTAGGTGACAGCATCAGTGGAACCTCCGATGAAGCGATGTTATTCTACTCCGTTTGGAATTTATACTGTCCGGTCCGTTATGGTGAGTTCTGTCATTTCTGATTTTGATCTGTATGGTTTTGTACATGGGGTCCAATTCTGTATGTTTGTTGATTGAAGTATGGGTGGAGAACCATGCCTCTAGGAATTCCTGTGTGTGTCTTTGTCAACTAACACATAGAATTGGACACCATGTACAAACCCATACAGATCAAAACGGAAATGACAGCACTCACCATAACGGACCGGACAGTATAAATTCCAAGCGGAGTAGAATAACATCGCTTCATTGGAGGCTCCACTGATGATGTCACCTAGCATGGTGATGAAACGTCTGAACATAAACAAGCCAGCTTGGCGAGCAAATCAACAACCTCATCCACAACCTGAGCTACAGATCTTTGCCAAAATTCCAATTGATGTTCTCGATTTGTCCTCACGACACACACCTGAGACACCCCTGTGGTACCATTCAAGGTGATCAGCTTGCTAACACTAATGAAGAATGTTTAGAGCCATTAGAGATACTGGAGGTTATTAGGTGTTCGTGGAATTGTATGAGCCAACACCCTTCTTACAAGTGGGATGAAAAAAATAACTGTCCTGTTGTTTGTACGTACACAGTAATAGTGATATCATAGAACTCCGTACTCAGCCTTCATATCTTTCCTGCAGAAAACATTGACTCTCAACTAGGGTGCAGTTCTATCAGTAGTGCAGTTCTTCCTTGGACTAGCTTACCTCAATCATCTTTCTCAACACTAATACCAATTATTCCAACCGAGATCATCTAACTGAGCCTAGGCTGTGAGTGTCAGAAAGCTATTCCATTGTAAATGGATAGTGATTCAGAGTGGGAGCCCTGGATGATTACCCTGAAGCCATTGTGTGTTGTTTCTATGTATGGTCTCAGCATTAAAATCAGCGAGCTTTGTTTAACAGGAAATAGTGGTTCTGTTCCTCGCTAATTCATTTGTAATTTCATCCATCAATAAAATAGTTTTATCCCCCTGATATTTTTAAGAAAGTGCAAACTGATTATCCAATTTCCAAGTTATTTTAGTCAGATTCTCACGGTCTTTCCTCCTGCTAAGATCCCGACCATTTTTTCTGACTCTTATTCAGCAAGTGGACATTTATGGCTAGTGCAGTTGTAATTTCTCAATTCTCTCTCACAGAACCTTCCCTTCCTTCCTCAGAAGTAGGAGATGACCCTCCAATGCTTACAAAGGAGGAGCTCGTTCCCTTGCAGCCTCAGGTAAGCCAGGAACCAATTGTGTGTACACCTACTTATAGGGAAGACTGAGCTTGTGTATGTTTTAGTGTAGTTGTTAGAACGAAGCACACATTTGAGTTAAGCTTCAAATCCAAATTTAAACTTTTAAAATGGTACTTCTTCTACTTTGATTATTTAGCTCAGTTTGAACATGTATAAGTTAAATGTGCAGATCCCAACATTTTAATTTGGAAAAGCACACAGACCAATGAACAAAAGTCAAATCTTAGGCAGGGTGTGCATGCTACCATTATCATTTTGCTGTAAATATCCCTGATTCAGTGCCAGGCCAAATACCGTGTAGGCACAGTGGAAGAGGAATGATTAACTCCTAACAAACAATATGTGAACCTGGTAGAGAAATTTGACTCGTGTTGCAAGGCCATGGTTTCCAAATTAAGATGACACATCCCAACATATTTAATGCTTACCAGAATAAGTGGTTTAAATCTTTATAGAGGATGGAAAAAATATTGAGTTTTAGCACTATGAGTCTTTAGGATTTGAACTTTCTGGTGGTCTAATGGGTAAATGCTGTGAAAATTGGGAAGCTACATATTCCTTTAGTTAGGAAAGGAAAATTGGCTTAAGTTACCAATCATGTGGTCTCTGCTGTAAAGTGAATATTGTGGAGGGACAGATGGGAAAATCTTGCTCTGATGATTTCCATGGTCAGTTATGCTGCAGAATCCTTGTTTTTAGTCTTGCACAACAATAACCACTTTAGTAAGTACAGAAAGCAGTGCAACAGCTAGGATCAGTAAGTTGCAGAGCAGGATAGAAATTTGGAAAGTGATGCTATCAGCAATATTGATCCAGAGAATTGAGCAATAGCTTATCATTTTTGAGTTATTTTGTTCTTTGCAAATTTATTCTCTTAGAAGTATTAAAAAGGCATTGTCAAAATCAAACTAAAAAGTGGTACTAGTCATTTCCAGAGTCCAAGGTGGGTAGTTTTTTTCTGGCTGTCCATCTCGAAATTGTTGTATACCACTGGCATTAAACTTATTTTTAACAGTAAAGCTAATGTATTGGGTGATTCAAAATAAGCAAATTCTTTTGTGAATTCAATGAAGAAAATGTTTAAGCAGTTGGCTGAAAATTTCACTGGATCATAGAATTTTGCTGGGAAAGAATTAGTCTCGGATTAAGCAATAGTGGGATTCTCCTTTTTTTTTCAGCATTTATTTCATAGGGACCCATTCAGAATGTTAAACAGATCTTGGTTTTCAGTGAATTTTTATTTCAACAAAATTTTGTAGTTTTAACAACAAAGCTTTTAATGTACTTTTTGATTTTTCAGATCAACTCTTTTTTTTTTTAAAATTTGTTACCAGGTCGTGGAAGAGGAGGATGATGAATATTCAGGGGCACCGCCACTGAAGAGGGTATGCACTGGACAGAATGCTGTGACCCAGCCAGTAACTGAGAGCTAACCCAGAATCTCAACTTGGCTCTTTGCCATGGTACAATCTGACTTGACCATCACACAACTGACTGACTTTGAAGAATGATATTTATTTTCTACTTTTAATGAATTGTGATGGTTGTGACTTTGGAGTCTGATTTATAATGTTTCTGTATTGCAGGATGATGTCCCTTTTGTTGGGTGTAGTCCATGGCTCCACTGGGTCTTCCTAGTTGAAGACACTTTTGTATTGATGGTGTCAAAAGCATAACCTAATATAAAGGATATGCTCTGCTCGCCTCTGAATTATGTCTATCATTTGGTTTTCATCAATCTTCAGATTATGTATTGGAAGCATGGAAGCAAGAAAGTATGGGCTTCCTTCTTATTGACCCCTACAGGGATCGATTGCACACTGCTACAGTGTAGAGGGTGGAGCGCAGACTTCAGGATTGCTCTTTTTGGAGCCCTAACATCAATATGAAAGTGCCTTGACATTGAAGTGCCTCCAATCTTAATCAAGGTTAAATGAGCTGATTGATGACAGATTTTTGTTAATGTTGCTGCTTGACTCTATCTTTAAATTTTCAGTCTTGATCCTGAAATCCTCCTTGTGATAAGAAGTTGCGCTTTATCATTTGTATCCAAGGAAAGCACAATAGGGTGCAGTTTAAAAAAAAAAGTACTGTTGAGGTTGTATGGTTATATGGAAGTATTTAGTACAACATAAGAACTAGGAACAGGAGTAAGCCATGTGATTCATCAAGCCTGCTTTGCCATTCAGTAAGATCATGGATGATCTGATCTTGGTCTCAGTTTCACTCTTCTGTTTGTTCCTCATAACCCTTGAGTCCCTATAGTTCAAAATTCTGTCTTTCTCAGCCTTGAACATATTCAAGGATTTACAGTGCTGCGGGTAGAGATTTTTTAAAGATTCTCGTTTATCTTAAAAGGGCAATCCATTATTCTGAAACTATACTTCCTGCTTCTAGATTCCACAGGATGTTGTGTTCCAATAAGAACATCTCTCATTTTTCTAAACTCTGAGTTCAGGCCCAACCTTTCTTCATAAAATAACCCAAAAAGTAAATATACAAGTATATTTAAAAATGCATTTTCTGGAGCTCATTATTTTAATAAATTTTCTTCAGTGAAAAAGAATGGAAAATCTTGTGGAAGAACAGGTTTCCTTTTTAAGTTGATGTTGGCCTTTACTGTATCTTTTGACAGATATGGAAAATTTTGCACTTAATTTTCAATGATACTGAATCAATTTTCTATACCTTGTTTAACCAGGACTTGCATTTTTCCCTGGGGAGAGCACTATAGTGGATCATAGATGATTTATATATACATAGAACAGTACAGCACAGGAACGAGGCCTTCGGCCCACAATGTTGGGCCAAAAATGACACCAAATAAAACTAATCCCTTCTGCCTGTCTTTGGTCTATATCTCTCCATTCCTTGCATATTCATTTGCTTATCTAAAAGTCCCTAAATGCCGTAATTGTATCTGCTTCCACCGCCACCCCTGGCAGTACATTCCAGACTCCTACCACTCTCTGTGTAAAACAGCTTGCCCCTCACGTCTCTTTTGAACTTACCCCCTCTGACCTTAAATGCACGTCCCCTAGTTTTAGACATTCCAACTCTGGGGGGAAAAGATTCTGAGCGTCAACCCTATCTATGCATCTCATAATTTTCATAGACGTCTCCTGTCAGTCTCCGCCACTCAAGAGAAAACAACCCAAGTTTTTCTAGCCTTTCTTTATAGCTGATATCCTCTAATGCAGGCAGTTTCCTGGTAAACCTCTTCTGTACCCTCTCCAAAGTCTCCATATCCTTCCTGTAATCTGGCAACCAGAATTGAACACCATACTCGTAAGTGTGGCCTAACAGTTGTCTTATAAAGCTGCAGCATGACATCTTGACTCTTGTACTCAATTCCCCGTCCAATAAAGGCAAGCATGCCATATGCGAACCTAACCACCCTATCTACTTGCGTGGCTACTTTCAGGATGCTATGGACTTAAATCCCAAGACTTCTGTACATCAATCCTGTTAAGAGTCCTGCCATTAACTCTATACTTTTCCTTAACATTTGATCTCCCAAAGTGCAGCGCTCACTCTTACCCGATTTAAACTCCATCTGCCATTTCTCCACCCATTTCTCCACCCATTTCTGCAATTGATCTATATGCTGCTGTATCCTTTGACAACCTTCTACATTATTCACAACTTCACCAATCTTTGTATTGTCTGCAAACTTACTAGCCCACCCATCTACATTTTCAACTAAGTCATTTATATATAATCACAAACAGCAGAGGTCCCAGTACGGATCCCTGTGGAACACCACTAGGCACGGACCTCCAGCCAGAAAAGCACCCTTCTACCACTACCCTCTGTCTTCTATGGGCAAGCTAATTCTGAATCCACGCGGCCAAGTCCCAGTGGACTCCATGTATCTTAATCTTCTGGATGAGCCTTCCATGAGGGACCATGTCGAAAACCTTACTAAAATCCATGTAAACAACATCCACTGCTGTACCCTCATCGAGCACCTTCATCACTCCTTGAAAAATTCAATCAAGTTAGTAAGACATGAACAAAAACAGAAGTTGCTGGAAAAGCTCAGCAGGTCTGGCAGCATCTGTGAAGAAAAAATGTCAGTTAACGTTTCGGATCTGGTGACCCTTCCTCAGAAAGCTGTAAGACATGACCTGCCCTGCACAAAGCCATGCTGACTGTCCCAAATTGGGCCATACTTTTCAAATGTGTGTAAGTCCTATCCCTAAGAATTCTCTCCAGTAGTTTTCCAATCACCGATGTGAGCCTCACTGGTCTGTAGTTTCCTGGATTATCCCTATTTCCCTTCTTGAACAGAGGAACAACATTAGCTACTCGCCAGTTCTACGGGGACCTCTCCACTGGCTAGAGAGGATACAAAGATCTTGGTCAAGGCACCAGCAATCTTCTCTCTTGCCTCTCTCAACAACCTGGGGTAGATACCATTGGGCCCTGGGGACTTATCCACCTTAATGCTTTTCAAGAGATCCAACACTACTATTATCTTGATTTCAAAATGCCTAGGCATATTAGCATGCTCCACACAAATCTCACTATCCACCATATCCTTCTCCTTGGTGAATACCGATGCAAAGTGCTGTATTTCACTTCACATTTGAATAGTCCATTGCCACTGACTCCACAGGCTCGCACGAGAAGAGTAACCACGTTATCTATAACGGGGAGGGTACAGATATCCATGGAACAGTATCCTACCAAGGTGTTGGCATGATGACAGGAGGAAGGAAGAAAATTCCACCTAATTACCAAACCATTCACATTTTATTACTTTGTTTACTGAATCAAACAGCCAGCTGTCTTCTGCAGCTGATTTTACTGAAACCAGACTTTTTCTTATCCGGAGATGATCGTAAATTAAACATCAGCCATGTGGAATGTGGATGATAATACTAACCAATCAACCAGTTTAAGAATAAATACATATGAAGGTTCTTAAGCCTATTGATACCTGTGTAATACATAAGAACATAAGAAGTAGGAGCAGGAGTAGGCCATCTGGCCCCTCGAGCCTACCCTGCCATTTAATAAGATTATGGCTGATCTTTTTGAGACTCAGCTCCACTTACCCGCCCACTCACCATAACCCTTAATTCCTTTACTGTTCAAAAATTTATCTAGCCTTGCCTTAAAAACATTCAGCGAGGTAACTTCAACTGCTTCACTGGGCAGGGAATTCCACAGATTCACAACCCTTTGGGTGAAGAAGTTCCTCCTGACCTCAGTCCTACATCTGCTTCCCTTTATTTTGAGACGATGCCCTCTAGTCCTAGTTTCACCTGCTAGTGGAAACAACCTCCCTGCCTCTACCTTATCTATTCCCTTCATAATCTTATATGTTTCTATAAGATCTCCCGTCATTCTTCTGAATTCCAATGAGTATAATCCCAGTCTACTCCGTCTCTCCTCATAATCCGACCCTCTCAGCTCTGGAATCAACCGAATGAGTCTCCTCTGCACCGCCTCCAGTGCTAGTATATCTCTTCTCAAGTAAGGAGACCCAACACTGCACACAGTACTCCAGGTGTGGCCTCACCAGGACTCTTATACAGCTGCAGCATAGCCTCCCTGTTTTTAAACTCCATCCCTCGAGCAATGACAGGCAAAATTCCATTTGCCTTTTTAATTACCTGCTGCACCAGCAATCCTACTTTTAGTGATTCATGCGCAAGGACACCCAAGTCCCTCTGCACAGCAGCGTGCTGCAATTTTGTACCATTTAAAACATAGTCCATTTTCCAGTTATTCCTACCAAAATGGATGACCTCACACTTATCAACATTGTACTCCATCTGCCAGACCTTTGCCCACTCACTTAGACTGTCTATATCCCTTTGCAGACTTTCAGTGTCTTCTGCACACTTTGCTCTACCACTCACCTTAGTGTCATCTGTAAATTTTGACACACCACACTTAGTCCCCAACTACAAATCATCTATGTAAATTGTAAACAATTGCGGTCCCAACACTGATCCCTGAGGCACACCACTAGCCACTGACCACCAACCAGAAAAACACCCATTTACCCCTATCTTTGCTTTCTACTGGTCAACCAATCCTCTATCCATGCCAATACATTACCTGTAATACCGTGTAACTTTACCGTGAATACACAGGCTAGTAGGTTACAATATTTCAATAGTTATTGAAAAATCACTGTCTATCTTATTATTAGCTGGAATATTGCCAACAGATGAATACATCATGAAAACCCATGGGGATTGCATGAAGAATTATCATCTCAGTGTGGCTCCAGGGGTTTGGGATTTGTGTGGACCATCTCTGACCCTGCAAAAGCCAATCAACGTCCAGGAAGGGAAATAAATTTCAAAAATGAAACCTTGGGTATTTATTTTCCTAACTTTATTTTAAACCTATTGTCTAGTTTCTCAATGTTTTTGTGTACAATTTTTTTATTGCCTTTTTGGCACAAGAATACGGGAAATTCATCTATTAATGACACAGCAAAAAAGACAGTTCATAGTAACATATAATATTTTTCTTCTTATCCATACTATGCTTGGACAGTGCTCTTTTTAATAGAAGTTTCTACCCAGATATAGTGCTTCTGCCAAAGTATCTCCTTTTCTGTCTTGCATTTTCAACCCAAACCCATTCAGGCCCTGCCCCATGATCTACACTGTGACTACATTGCCTAGTTGTGAGTGCTCGTGTTTTTTTGAGTTAGATACAGTGTTTAATTTCTGATCCTTACTTGTCTCATTCTATTTTAACCCTTAATGTAACCCTTCCCTCTTTCATGGATCAACTCAAAGGTAAAGCTACTCACTGTCTCAATTTAGTTAACTCTCTCACATATCACATATGAAAAGCAGGTTATAGTAAGTTGGCAACCTATTTTAGACCTGCTTGATCTACCTTTTTTATTGAAGTTGAAACAAAAGAAAGTTAGGTAACATGTGAAATAGCTTATTCATCATTGCCTGTTTCCATCCAGTAATTCAAGTTGTAAGTACCCCAAATTTCAGTTACATATTGTATAGCGTTGTTTTGGCTGATTCAGTATTTTGTCCTTGTGTATTAGATCTGTGTTCCATTTCACTACTTCTTAATCCTAACATTAGAATTTTTAGCAAATGCCCCAGTGAATAGTTTGTATGTTTTAGCTTCATTTTTTTTAGGATCTTGAAAATGTTAAAGACGGTTACATGTATTTTATATGAAAAAGGAAAGTATATTTACAGTGTGGCCTCTTACCGTAGCTCATCCACAGACCCCATCCCACCAATTCCCCAGCCCAGTGGAAATTATGTACCTAGCTTCTTGCTATTTATATAGTGGATCTTTTAACCACTGGGTTCTCTTTCAGAGTTTCTGAAGAGCAGAGATTTCCTAATTACAATATGGAGACACCTATCTTGTTGATACAGATTTTGCTTTTCATGGAAGTGAAGCCAGGACAATGTGAAAACTATTAAAAGATTGTAATTTCTGAAGAAAAATGCATAAGAGTTATATTTTTGAATACAAAGAGCTAAATAGATTAATCAATTTGTACATTGAATATTTTTCTTTGCTATTCCACTTAGCTTGCTCTATTTGAAGATAACTGTCATTTTTGTTACTGTTTGTTTTTAGTCCAGGACATGTGGAAAGTTTGTTTTGTATGTATGGCATTTGTGCAATGGAATGGAAACCAGCCAGAATGTTCTGGGGCATTCAAACAGGCTCACATTTTTTTTCAAAATAGGGTTTGAGTTGTAGTAAATTAATTTTCCTATGATATGATGGGCAATTCATTTTTGGTGTTGTACTGGAACATATGTCGTTAAGTTAAATACTGATAGTTCTGATTTGTTTGGAAAAGTAGTTGAGTTACAATCTCAGACAACACAAATGTTGATGAGGGATTCTAAATGTTGTCTGTATAAAAAGCCTTCATTAGCATTAGATCAGAGAGGCAATAGGCATTGCTTAAAGAAAGTCCATGCACTCAGTGTATGATACATCTATTTGCATTGCAGCCAATATTAATAATTAATTTGTGAATCACTAGAACTCTGTTTTAAATGATTCAAAAATGTAATTAAATTCCTTTCATAATTTAAGAAAAACTTTGAACTTTATTGCAAGTGCTATTTCTGGCTTTTTCTGCCTCAAATAAATTTGTCCAGGCATGAAGAAAGAATGTTAAAAATTTTTCATGCTTTTGCAGTATGCTGTTCCAAAGAAATGATTTGAAGGGTATATGTAAATTGTCAGGTGGGGTATGGTGCTTAGACTGCACTCTATTTTTAGTGGCAGACTTTAGAGACACCACTTATAGAGCATTCAATTTTACAAAATGACCAATTTGATTCTATTGGACATCCCAAATTCTAAACAATAGTTTTTCAGTTAGATGTTTGGTTTAAGTGTTTTCATGTTTATATTTTCTTTTAAAATTTTCAAAAGGTAAGCACCAGCCTTGGCAATTGGTATAAGCACATGTGTATATTTTTAAAGTATTTGTGTATTATGGCCATTTGCATACTCCACTGTTTAGGATAAAGCACTTACTGAAAGTTATTTTCTGATATTTACTGAGGCACCATAAAATGGGTGCTCCTATTGCCTTCGCTGTGTTATTGACTTCAAAATCTGTCTCCTGTTCATGAATATGGAGACAGAAACAAATCACTGGCGTGCCTCAGTGATAGAAATTTGCTAAAGATGCAAACCATAATGTTAAAAAATACTTTTTTTACCTCGGAAGTTAAGTGTTGCCTTTCATATTGTAAAACCTAAATGACTATTTAGATTGCTTTTTCAAATGCTTGTGAAAATAAAGTGTTGCAATACATTAAAAAGTGCATTATTATACTTTGACTTCTTATATTCTAGGTGATTATAATACATCTGGTAAATTCAAACTTGTGATTTGTAATGTGATATGCCACCCCACATAGACACAATAGGCAAGGTTAATGCAGTTTGGTGCAATATACCTGAGATTTCAAAAGACCAAAGTGGACTCCTAACTAAATTGAGGTTACGGGCTGAAGAAACAGACTGACAAGCTAGTGTTCCACAGAATGCTGTTTGGAACTATTATTATTTATTATTTATATAAATGTTTACCACCAAATTGGATGTTTTGTTTATACTGATAAAATATTTAAAAAATGGTAACGTGCAGATTGGGCAGGTAAATGGCAAATGATGGGTGTAAGGTGCTATGGTTTGGTAGGAAAAATAAGGAAGTTATCTTGCAAAATAAAAGTTAATGTGGTACAAATTCACAAATCATGAAAATTAACAGTGCTGGTTAACAAAGCTCTAAAAATGCAAATAAAACATTCGGGTTCATAGCTTATATTTTTGTATTTAATAAACTTAATAGTGTTAGATTTGTATTGAAACTTAGACCACATATTGGAATACTGGGCAAATATCTGGTTTCCATTATTGCAAAAGGAGTGTAAAGTAACTTTAGGAGATGCAATTCTTTGTAGGTTTTTTTTTGCATCAGAACTGAGAGGATACAACTATCATGGAAGACTAAACAAGCTTTTCTCTAGATTCAGAGGTGATTGGATTGAGGCCTAAGATTTTAAAGGAGCTTAATAGGGTGGAGAAGATATTTTCACTTGTGGAATAATCCAAAACACAGGGCCATAAATACAACATAACCGTTCATAAATGTAGTGTAAAACAACAGCAACCTGAAAACACCAAACTGCAAATCTACTAAGCTTGTGACCTCTTATGAACTCCTGTATAGTAGTGAGAACGGGACTACTTATGGTAGGCAGGGTAAAAAGCTGAAGAACTGCTGTCCCAAATGTATCCTCAGCATCTCTTGGCAAGACAAAATCGCCGACTCTGAGGTCCTGGTTTGTGATAGTATACATACATTACCAAAAATCTGTAGTGACTTGGTAATGTTGTTGGATGGATGATGACTTATGTGGTAAACTGGACATTGAGTCTAATCTCAATAAATGTGGAGCTAGAAAAGCACAGCAGGTCAGACAGCATCTGAGGAGCAAGGAAGTCAATGTTTCAGGCCAAAACCCTTCCAGCATCTGCAGTCTTTACTGTCTCCAAGTCTCTGGGTCTAATCTGCTGGATGTCCATACCTCTGCCACAACACACTTACAAATGAGCTGTGAAAACAGCAAACATTGATGTAGGCAATTAGGAGACAGCCACTGAGACCTCTGGAGGATGATTATTCAGAGGGACAGCAGAAGAGGCGAGAAGAAATAGGAAAACCAGCTGGCCTAGGAGTGGGCCCAAGGAAAACCAAGTTTTTAAGGGCAGAGACTACAGTTTAAAGTTTTCGAGAAGATTTGTAGCTTGGGTTGTGGATGAGGTTGTAGACCTGCTTGCCGAGCTGGTGGGCTGGTTGCAAATGTTTCATCACCCTGCTAGATAACATTGTCAGTGCGCCTCTGGTGAAGTGTTGGTTTTCTGTCTGGCTTGTTATTTTGTGCCTCAGTTTGTTGGGGTGTTTGGTACCACTTCCAGTTGTGTTTTTCAGTGGTTTGTACACAGGGTCTGATTCAATGTGTTTGTTGATGGAGTTCGGTTAGAATACCAGGCCTCCAGGAATTCCCTGGTGTGTCGCTGTTTGGCTTGTGCAATTATGGATGAGACTGCTGTGCTGGAGTAAGACTTCTGCATCACAGTAAGTGATGTTTAACAGAGTTGACCACCAAAGTGTAAGCTACTGTCTTGTGAGTTGGGAGGCTGACAAACTAATAAATCAGTAAGGAATTTTGGGGAAAATTCTTTAATTAATGTAAAAACAACATTCAGGACATACGCAGCAGGTTTGGCAGCATCTGTGGAGAAAGAAATAAAGCTAATAGAGTCCAATGACTCATTTTAAGCAATCGTGTGGAGTTCAACTGCAATCAGTCATGATCTTAGTAAATGACAGAGCAGGGTCAAGAGTGCAGGTGACCTACTCCTCCAATTATGTATGTTCACATATGGGAGACAGGTTAACTGATGAGTTGAGATGAAGTAAGGTGGGAGGATGCATTTGATCAAAATAAAGTCTGAAAATGATTGAAGCACAAGTGTGATTCTATACAAGCAATGATTGCTACTAAATAGCACCCAACATCCATGGATATGGTTGAATTTGCCCTGGGTACTGCTGGAACACTGGACTGACTGAAGAGAAAATATTCTCCTTTAGTTTGTTAAATTTCCTTTTCTGTAATTTGAACGCTTATTGCTGGTGCCCTTGTGGAAGGGCATCTTATTTGATTGGGCCAAACCCAAAGAGAGTGAACAATTCTGGGGAGACAGACTGTGCAAGTTACTGCAGTTTGAGATGGTGGTCGACAAGGAGGAGGGTCTGCAGAGGTAACAAGGTGTAGAGCTGGCTGAACACAGCAGGCCAAGCAGCATCATAGGAGCAGGAAGGCTGACGTTTCGGGTCTGGACCCTTCATCAGAAAATCATTTGCAGAGGGACAGTGATGGAAATGTCAGCTTGAATTATCGGGGCTTACAGCGTTTGTACAGTTGATAACCGAGAGACGTGAGAGCCGCCACCGCTGCTGCCTGAGCCGGGCTGGGACACACACGGCTCCGTCACAGCCGCAGCTGGAGCTGAGGCGGGGATCTGCTCCGACACGAGCTGCAGGAGGCCTGAGGCCTGCTCCGTTACCAAGGAAACCGCGGCTATGGCGGAGTGCGGCAGTGAGAGGGTGGAGGCGGTTTACCGGACCCTAGACCCGGTGAAAAATCTCCGAATCCGGTACGGGCGGGTCGGGCTGGAGATTAACCAGGGTTTTTATTATTTCCCCCTTGGAGTGGAAGGGAATGAGAATAGCACATCCTGGGGGCAGGAGTAGGAGTGAGACAAACACAGGGTCAGGGAGAATAATTGAATATTTTGTTGTAAATGACGTTAATGTCTGAGAACCGTATAGAGTGAGGTGGTAGGTCATATTAACGTGGGTTGGAGCATTCAGCTGTGGCATTTATAGGATAAAAGAATAGAAAATGTTTTGCAGTTTCAGTATGGGGAGGCGACGTCCTAAAAAGAGGAAGGGTCACTGGACCCGAAACGTTAACTCTGATTTTGTTTTCTTCACAGATGCTGCCAGACCTGCTGAGCTTTTCCAGCAACTTCTGTTTTTGGTCCTAAAAGTGGTAGTATCACTAGACTGTTAATCCAGAAACACAGATGGTGTCCTTTAAACCCGGGTTCCAAACTTGCCAGATGGTGGAATAAATAAAAATCTGGAATTAAGAGTCTAACCATGACAATACAACCATTGTTGATTTTTGGTAAAACTTATCTGCTTCACTAAAGTCCTCTACTAAAGTCTTCACTAAAGTCCTGGTACTCCTAAACTGCTGTCCTTCGCTGGTCTGCCGTACAAACCCAGTGCAATGTGGTTGACACTTAACTGCTCTCTGGGCAATCAGGGATGCACAGCAAATGCTGGCCTAGCCAGCTACATAGACATCCTGTGAATGAACGAAAAAGAAGATTTTCAGGACAGAAGAACATGGGAGTGGTTCAGGGTTGAAAGTAACTGAGGGTGATTTTTTGGACAAGAAGCTGGCAAGGTAGATTTATTTTTTAAAAAAAAAAAAACTAGATGCTGAGATGGAAAGTTGGATTCATGAAGTACAGCTAATAGTCTCTCTCTCAAACTCACTGTTGCCCTTTAGCTGAAAATGCGCTTATGCCAGAGTCTCCCTGCCAAGCTTCCTAGCAGGTGTAGAGCTATTCATCCTATTAATGGGTTAACTGTCCATCAGACAATTTGAAAAATTTAAATATTAAGTTGGCTGAAGCAAGAAGTTAAATGTGTTCAATTTTGTTTTGAAGTGTATGGCTTCAGCGGGTAACCCCGACAGCACTCTTCACTGAACATGCTCTGCAGCCAGCAATTCAACATGGACAAAGTCTCATTGAAATGTCTACATTTGACACCCAGTCTTCAAGGAGAATAACCGGTAAACTCCACATTTATCACATGTAGTCATTTCTCATCCCGCCCCCTTGACCTGTCCGTCCTCCCTGGACTGACCTATCCCCTCCCTAACTCCCCACCTACACTCACCTTTACTGGCTCCAACCCACCTCTTTGACCTGTCTGTCTCCTCTCCACCTATCTTCTCCTTTATCCATCTTCTATCCGCCTCCCCCTCTCTCCCTATTTATTTCAGAATCCCCTTCCGCTCCCCCATTTCTGAAGAAGGGTCTAGGCCCGAAACGTCGGCTTTCCTGCTCCTCTGATGCTGCTGGGCCTGCTGTGTTCATCCAGCTCTACAACTTATTATCTCAGATTCTCCAGCATCTGCAGTTCCTACTATCTCAGTCATTTTGCTTTCCTTGTTATTTGAATTACCAGCTTATTCCAAAGTGTGTTTAACAAGGGGTAACAGAGTTATAGGCCACTGCAACTCAACAGTTTGGTTGAGAATGCAGAGATATGCTTTGCTGTAGGACACTTGAGAGAGAGAGACAGAGATTGTATTCAGTCAGGAAGGACTAGCTAACTCTTTTCTTGGAATTTCTATGTTACTCTCCTCATGCTAATGTCTTTGCACATCTCCAGATTTGGGTATAGTTTGACCAGCTCTGTAGTTGATTGCTCAAAGATTGCTACAAGTGTTCTTTTTCTCTAAGGCAAAGTGCCTTAGGGAGCATTCTAGGTCCAACCACCTTCAGGTGAATCATCAATGACTTTTTCTCCATCATAAGGTCAAAAGTAGGAATGTCCACTGATTGCAGAATTGTGCATGGAACTGAACAATGTGCAGATTCTTACAACTGAGGTTATTACTGGGTGAGTAGATCCAAGGCTGAACTCTGGCTTGGTAATCATGTTTGTTTTGGTTTTAACAAGGAGTTGGTTTCTCTCTGAATCGCAAGCATGCAGATGTTGTTTTAACAATAAAACAAATTTATTACACAAAATAAATTATGATAAAATAGAATAAACAACCTATTTACTTACAACACAAACTCAGTGTTTTATATATACAGTAAAAGTATAATCCTGTTAATCCCAAAATAGTTCTGTACTAATTCAAAAAAAAAACAAATCTCTTACCCACAGCAAATAGCAACCCTTCTACAGTACTCACATCAGCATTCCTTTGCTGACACCTCAGTAGGTTTATGCTAACTGTGACTTTGGCTCATAGACCAGAACCTCTAATAACTTACTCCTGAAGTTACGATACATCTGAATTTAAACAAATTCATCTTCATGTTTTCTTTAGGATTTTATCTCAATACTTTCAGTTTGGGACTATCATTAATTTCTTACTCTAGTCTAGTTCACCGTATTCTCCCCTTCTCAATTCCATCACTCTTCAAACACTTGCTCAATTGCTTCTTGAATCTTATGCTAATTCCCTTCTCAAATCTTATGCTAATTCCCTTCTCTTAACCTGTTCTAAGATATTTCCTCATTCTATTCTTATTATCACTGGAATATTGCCTAAGCTTAACTTGTTTTCCACTCTGAAGTATTCTCAATTTTATCTTGACATATACTGATGCATTTCAGCATTCTCTCCTTACCCATGGTGAGGTATTCTCCATTTTTCCTTATTTATGCAGAGATAGGTAAAGTAACAATTGCCATAGTCCCAGAGGACCATAGGGCTGCTTTCTCATTTAGAGAAAGACAAATCATGCTGGTTTAATTTGATAGACACTATGTCTCAGGTAAGAGACGATGTTAAGAAGGTGGGATCTTCATGATGACCACAGCCAGTACAAAAATTGAACTGGCCTTCAGTAGAATATTGTGATTTTTCTGTTGGATGTGGGAGATTCCAGAGAGTTTCCATGTTACTGATTATTATGACTACAGGAAGTGTGTTTGGTTGCGAATCCTTTCAGATTACATGCATCGGTTGGAGGGGAAGTTAGAGGCAATGAGGAATTTACAGGAGCTAGGGGTTGTAATGGATGGCTGTTGCAGGGAGGGAGATAAATTGATGATACAGTCGGATAGATGGGTGACCTGTAGAAAAGGTAGGAGAGGGAGGCAGGTAGTGCAGGAGTCTCTTGTGGCTATCCCCATCTCAAACAAATATGCTAGTTTGGAAAATGTAGGGGGTGATTGACTCTCAGGAGAATGTAGAACTGACAGCCAGGTTTCTGGTGCTGAGTGTGGCTCTAATGTGCCGAAGGGTAGGCCAGGATCCAAGCAAACGATTATTAAAGGCGTCTCTCTAGTCAGCGGCGTAGACGGATGTTTCTGTGGCCAACATCAGAATGATGTGTTGCTTACCTGGAACCAGGATCAAGGATATCTCAGGGAGGATGCAGAATATTCTCAAAGATGAGAGGGACCAGCAGGAGGTTTTTGTCCACATTGGAACTAACGACATAGGAAGAGAAAAAGTTGAAATTCTGAGGAGAGAATATAGGAAGTTAGGCAGGAAGTTAAAAGGTAGGTCCTCACGGGAAGCAATATCTGGATTACTCCCAGTGCCATGAGCTAGTGAAGGTAGGAATAGGAGGATAGAGCAGATCAATGTGGAACTGGTGCAGAGGAGAAGGATTCACATTTTCGGATCATTGGAATGTTTTCTGGGAAAGAAGTGATCTGTAGACGAAGGACAGATTGCACCTGAATTGGAAGGGGACTGATATACTGGTGCGGAAATTTGCTAGAGCTGCTCAACAGGATTTAAACCGTTAGGTGGGTGGGTGGGTGAGTTGGGGCTTGGGTTCGGGAGACCCAGTGAGTTAGTGAGGAAAGAGATCAGTCTGAGACTGGTACAATTGGGAAAAGTGGTAAGTCAAACAATCAGGGTAGGCAGGAACAAAGCAGAGAACGAGGTCGGACTGATAAATTAAACTATTTATTTCAATGCAAGAGGCCGAACAAGTAAGGAGGATAGACTCAGGGCATGGTTGGGAACATGGGACTGGGATATCATAGCAATTACAGAGATGGACAGGACTGGCAGCTTAATATTCCAGGGTAAAGGTGCTACAGGAAGGACAGAAAGGGGTTCGAGAGAGGAGGGGGAATGGTGTTTTTGGTTAGGGATAACATTTCAGTGTACTTCGGGAGGATATTCCTGGGAATACGTCCAGGGAAGTTATTTGGGTGGAACTGAGAAATAAGAAAGGGATGATCACCTCATTGGGATTATATTATAGACCTCGCTGATTGTCAACAGGAAATTGAGAAACAAATTTGTAAGGAGGTCTCAGTTAACTGTAAGAGTAATAGGGTTGGTTATATGGGGGATTTTAACTTCCCATATGTAGACTGAGACTGCCGTAGTGTCAAGGGCTTGGATGGAGAGGAATTTGTTAAGTGTGTACAAGAACATTTTCTGATTCAGTATGTGGATGTACCTACTAGAGAAGGTGCCAAACTTGACCTACTCTTGGGAACTAAGGTGGGGCAGGTGACTGAGGTGTCAGTGGAGGAGTACTTTGTGGCCAGTGACCATAATTCTATTAGTTTTAAAATAGTGATGGTAAAGGATAGACCGTATTGAAAAGTTAAAGTTCTAAATTGGAGGAAGGCCAATTTTTATGGCATTAGTTAAGAATTTTCAAAAGTTGATTGGGGGCGAATGTTTGCAGGTAAAGGGATGGTTAGAAAATGAGAAGCCTTTAAAAATGAGATAGCAAGAGTCCAGAGACAATATGTTCCTGTTAGCGTGAAGGGCAAGGGTGGTAGGTGTAGGGAATGCTGAATGACTAGACAAATTGACGTATTGGTTAAAAATAAGAAGGAAGTATATGTCAGGTATAGACAGCAGAGATTGAGTAAATCCCTCGAAGATTATGAAGGCACTAGGAGTATACTTAAGAGGGAAATCAGGAGAGAAAAAAGAGGACATGAAATAGCTTTGGCAAATAGGATGAAGGAGAATCCAAAGGGATTCTACAAATACATTAAGGAGAAAATGGTAACTAGGAAGAGAATAGGACCCCTTAAAGATCAGCAAGACCACCTATGTTTGGAACTGCAAGAGATGGCGGAGATACTAAACAAGTATTTTGCATCACAGTGTTTACTGTGGAGAAGGATATGGAAGGTAGAGAATGTGAGGGGGTAAAAAAGCAACATTTTGAAAAATGCCCATATTACAGAGGAGGAGGTGCTGGACGTCTTAAAACGCACGAAGGTGGATAAATCCCTGTGACCTGATCAGGTGTACCCTAGAACTCGCTGGGCCCCTTGCTGAGATATTTGTATCATCGATAGCCGCAGGTGAGGTGGTGGAAGACTGGAGGTTGGCTAACGCTGTATCACTGTTTAAGAAAGGTGGTAAGGAAAAGCCAGGGAACTATTGACCGGTGAGCTTGGCAACGATGGTGGGCAAGTTGTTGGAGGGAATCCAGAGGGTCAGGATTTACATGTATTTGGAAAGGTAAGGACTGATTAGGTATAGTCAACATGTCTTTGATCATAGATCATAGAATTCCTATAGTGTGGAAACAGGCCCTTCGGCCCAATAAGTCCACACCAACCCTCAGAGCATACCAACCAGACCCATCCACCTATAACACACCTGATCTACACATCCCTGAACACTATGGGCAATTTAACATGGCCAATCCACCTAACCTGCACATCTTTGGACTGTGGGAGGAAACCGGAGCACCCGGAGAAAACTCCACACAGTCGCCCAAGGGTGGAATCGAACCCAGGTCCCTGGCGCTGTGAGACAGCAGTGCTCGCCACTGTGCCGCCCTACCACCAATTTGTGCATGGGAAATCGTGCCTCACTAACTTGATTGAGTTTTTTGAAAAAGTAGCAAAGTGGATTGATGAGGGCAATGCAATGGACGTGATCTTTATGGACTTCAATAAGGCATTCGACAACGTTCCTCATGGCAGACTGGTTAGGAAGATTAGATCACCCAGAATACAGGGAGAACTAGCTATTTGGATACACAGTTGGCTCAAAGGTAGAAGACAGAGAGTGGATGTGGAGGGTTGCTTTTCAGATTGGTGGCCTATGACCAGCGATGTGTGACAAGGGTCGGTGCTGGGCCCATTGCTTTTTGTCATTTATATAAATGATTTGGATGTGAACATGGGAGGTATGGTAAGTAAGTTTGCAGATGACATCAAAATTGGAGGTGTAATGGACAGCGAAGTAGGTTACCTCCGAGTACAATGAGATCTTGATCAGATGGGCCAATGGGCCAAGGAATGGCAGATGGAGTTTAATTTAGATAAATGTGAGATGCATTTGGAAAAAGCAAATCAGGGCAGCACTTATACACTTAATGGTAAGTTCTTGGGGAGTGTTGCTGAACAAAAAGACCTTGGTGTGCAGGTTAATAGTATCTTGAAAGTGGAGTTGCAGGTAGATAGGATAGTGAAGAAGGCATTTGGTATGCTGGCCTTTATTGGTCAGTGCATTGAGGATAGGAGTTGGGAGGTCATGTTGTGGCTGTACAGGACATTGGTCAGGTCACTTCTGGAATACTGCATGCAATTGTGATCTCCCTGCTACAGAAAGGATGTTATGAAACTTGAAAGGGTTCAGAAAAGATTTACAAGGATATTGCCAGTGTTGGAGGGTTTGAACTAAAGGGAGAGGCTGAATAATCTCAGGCTATTTTCTCTGAAGCATCGGAGGCTGAGGGGTGACCTTATCAAGGTTTATAAAATCATGAGGGGTATGGATAGGGTAAATAGACAAGGTCTTTTCCCTGGGGTGGGGAAATCCAAAATTAGAGGGCATAGGTTTAATTTGAAAGGGCCAACTTTTTCACACATAGGGTGTTGCTATTATGAAATGAGCTGCCAGAGGACGTGGAGGAGGCTGGTACAATTAGAAGATTTAAAAGACATCTGGATGGGTATATGAATAGGAAGGGTATTGAGGGATATGGGCCAAATGCTGGAAAATGGGACTAGATTAATTTAGTATATCTGGTTGGCATGGGTGTTTTGGACTGAAGAGTCTGTTTCTATGCTTGCTATCTCTATGACCCTATAACCCACATTATTGCTGCCATAAATCAGCCATACAACTGACTGGGCTAACTGATTCTCCCCAGTCCACATACAGAGAGAAACCTCTGTTGTTTCCTTACCTGTACTGAGATGTTCTCTGACTCTATCCTTAACTATGTCAATGTAATCCCTAATTTTGTCCCTTTTCAGACTGCAACTGTATTTGTCGTTTTTTTCCTTCATTTTTTAAGATGGGTATCGGACGCATGACCAAGAGGAGGTTGTGGTGGGTTGGCAGGAAAAGCTATTCAGCCAGGTAAGTCATTTGTCACTTTACTGCAAAATCAATCACTATTGTTCTGATTTAAAAGTTTTCTGTGAGGAGGAAGGGTATTATGTGAGACAGATACTTCAATTTATATCTTGGCTTTACAATATATTTTTATAACAAGAAACCGTAAGTTGTAGATTAGAAGTAGCCCTGTGCTAACATCGGGTCCACAAAATTAAACAATCTCATTTAACCAAATTGAAATCATAAAGCTGTCATTAGTTTAAGACTAAATTGGTAATTTCAGGATTGTGGGACACACTAATGACGGTGTGGTTCAGAGCAGACTGAGCAGCCTCAGACTATTCTATAGGTGGTCTGTAACCTTATCTCTGAAGTCATTGGGAAGTAAAGATGAAGTTTTTTACCTCGTGCTAAAAATTTGTTAGGTACCGCTACTGCTCCACTGACCAAATGGGAAGCAAGCCGTTCTACTTGCACAAATTTGAATATTGAGCCAGGCAGCAACACCGAGCAGTCGCTCAGTGCAGGAAATGCTGAACACTGAGGGGTTGGAGAGGGAGGGCAGATCATAGAATCATTGGAGTAATTGTACCACAGAAGGAGGCCATTAAGCCTATTGTGTCTGTGCTGGTTTTCTACTGTGTCCACACTCCTCATGATTTTGAACATCTTTATCTTGGCCATTTCTTCTCTAATGTGATTAATGTCAATTTCAATTTTTCTATGTAATTGAAGTTTCTCATCCCTAGAACCATTTTTCTGAGTCTTATTGCTTCATCTCCAATTTCTTCAAATCCTTCCTAAAGTGTGATACCCAGAACTCGATGGAAATACTGCAGTTCAGGCAAAACCTATATTTTGTACAGGTGTACCATAAATTGTTTGCTTTTTTACTCTATGCATCTGTTGATAAAACCTAAGTGGCCATATGTATTACTAAGTGCTCCCACCCAGACACGTCTGCCTTTACGCCTTTCTCAGCAAAGCTTTTGACAAGGTCCCACATAGGTGACTTATAAAGAAGGCAAATGCACAAGGGATGCAGGATAATTTGATGAAGTGGATTCAACATTTGCTCAGTTGTAAGAGATAGAGGGTGATGACTGAAGGCTGCTTTAGTGACTGTAGCCAGTGTCTAGTGGCGTACCACAGGAATCTCTGCTGGGTCCCCTATTATTTATTATTTATCATTTATATAAATGAAATAGATGACTGTGTGGGGGCTAGATTAGTAAATTTGCAGATGACACAAAGTTTGGTTGGGTGTTTAACAGTGAGGTTGGGGGCTCTTTAGGCTCCAAGAAGATGTAAACAGGATGGTCAAATGGGCAGAAATGTGTCGGGTGAAATGATACACTTTGGAAGGAGTAATTTGACATGGAAGTATTCGATGTACAGCATGACAATAAGAAGCTCTGTGGAACAAAGTGACCTTAGAGCCTTTGTCCATAGATCTCTGAATGTGAAAGGGTATATTTGAGTGGTGAAAAAGGCACATGGGACACTTGCCTTTATCAATCAAGGTATACATTACAAAAATGTGGAAGTTACGTTGGAGTTGTATTTAACTTTAGTGTGCAGGTACTGTGTGCAGTTCTGGTCACCACATTACAGGAAGGCTGAGATTGCGTTGAAGCGGATGCTGCCCGAGGTGGAAAACTGAAGTTACGAGGAAAGAGTGGATAGGCTTGATTTGTTTTTGTTGGATCAGAGAAAACTGAGGGCAAAATGATTGAGGTGTACAAGATTATGAGGGGTATGGTGCTTGGAATGGGATTAGATTGAAGGTCAGGTGTTTCTCATGTGTCATTGAAGACTCAATGGGCCACAGGGTCTCTTCTGCACAGTATGATTCTAAGCTTCACTTTTAGATTTGTATTATTTACTTTATATTGTTTCCCCTTTTTGGCCTACCCAAGTGAAAAGCCAAACTTCAAAAAGATGCTGGAGCGTAGCGACTCTCTGCGAGCTGTCCCCAACAGATTATCCCCTCACATCTTTTATTATTATTCATCTCTCTTTAAATGTCAATTTTATCTTTCTCTGCACCTTCTCTGTAGTTATAACACTGTATTCTGCATTCTGTTCTATTACCCTGACATACTTATGTAAAGTATGATTTGTCTGGATAGCACACAAAACAGTACTTTTCACTGTGTATCTTGATATATATGACAATAATAGATCAAATCAAATCCAACTTCTCTGCATTAAATTTCATCTGCTTTTTATCCCCAAATTCCAACACATTCTACACTATCCTTGTATTTTTTTTGTCATACTTCTAAGTTTTGTATCTATAAATTTGTAATTTGTGTCCTGTACAAGGAGATCCAAGTCAGTAGCATTAGTCAGGAGGCCAAGGGTTGTAACACTGATTCCTGCGGAATCACACTTTTAACGTACCTATGTTCTGAGAAGGCAAAGATTTAACGCGATTCAGCCAATCTCATCCATGGTTGTACAGTCCATGAACTCCAGTTTGCTCACATCTGTTGTGAGGCATATTATCAAATGTCTTTTGGAAGTCCTTGTACACCACATTAACAACATTACCGTCATCAACCTGTTACCTCATCAAAAATCATGAGCTTTCCTTACTGAACTCATATTTGTCTGTTAGTTTTATCCTGAATTGCCATTTTCTAAAAGTTTTCTCACCACTAAGGTTAAACTGACTGATATTTAGGATTGCATGTGCAGCAGGTAATTAAAAAGGCAAATGGAATTTTGCCTGTCATTGCTAGAGGCTTGGAGTTTAAAAACAGGGAGGCTATGCAGCAGCCGTATAGAGTCCTGGTGAGGCCATACCTGGAGTACTGTGTGCAGTTTTGGCCTCCTTACTTGAGAAGGGATATACTAGCGCTGGAGGGGGTGCAGAGGAGATTCACTCGGTTGATTCCAGAGTTGAGAGGGTTGGATTATGAGGAGAGATGGAGTACACTGGGATTATACTCATTGGAATTCAGAAGAATGAGGGGAGATCTTATAGAAACATATAAGATTATGAAGGGAATAGATAAGGTGGAGGCAGGGAGATTGTTTCCGCTAGCAGGTGAAACTAGGACTAGAGGGCATCGTCTCAAAATAAAGGGAAGCAGATGTAGGACTGAGGTCAGGAGGAACTTGTTCACCCAAAGGGTTGTGAATCTATGGAATTCCCTGCCCAGTGAAGCAGTTGAAGTTACCTCGCTGAATGTTTTTAAGGCAAGGCTAGATAAATTTTTGAACAGTAAAGGAATTAAGGGTTATGGTGAGTGGGTGTTTAAGTGAAGCTGAGTCTCAAAAAGATCGGCCATGATCTTATTGAATGGCGGGGCAGGCTTGAGGGGCCAGATAGCCTACTCCTGCTCCTAGTTCTTATGTTCTTATTTAGTTGTTGGTCATATATTTATACACCCTTTTATGAATAAAGGTATATGTAACTTTGGCAATTCTCTAATCTCTTGGTATGACTCCTGAGTCTTAGGAATATTGAAAAATTGTGGCCAGTGTGTCCAAAGTATCCAATCTCACTTCCTTTTGTATCCTTGGATGCACCGCATTTGGTTCTGATGTCTTATCAACTTTTAAGTAGACAGGCTATCCAATCCTCCCCCATATCAATTTTAAATTGTTCATGAGTCTGAACCACATGTTTCATCATGATCTGCATCTTCGTCCTTCACAAATTCAGGTGCAAAGTGTTTATTTCATACCTCAGCTATGCCCCTGTCTCTGTGTCAATCCCCTATTTGGTCTCTAATCAGTTCCACTTCTCTTCTCACCACCATTTTTCTATTTGTATGCCTGCAGAGAGCTTAGAGTTTGATGATTTGAAAAGAACGTATTTTTTTCCTCTATTCAAACATGCGGTGAGGGCATTGCTGGGTAGGTCAGCATTTATTGTCCATCCCAGGGGGCAACTGAGTTCACATATTGGCCAGAGCAGGTAATGATGGCACTTTCCTTCCCTAAAGGGCATTAGTGAACCAGGTGGGTTTTTATGACAATCAACAATGGTTTTGTGGTCATCATTAGACCTATAATTCCAGACTTTTATTGGATTCACATTCCACCATCTATCCTAGAGGGATTCAGACCCAGGTCCCCAGAAAGTTACCTGGATCTCTGGATCAGCATTTCAGCAACAATACCACTAGGCTGTCACCTCCCTTAAGAGTATTACAGAATATCTTCTTTTATTTCTAGTTTGAAATTGATCTGTTCAAGAACGAACATGCCTGTCAGAGTCCTTTGGACTTTCAGTACCGCAATGAAATCCTGTCTCTGGAGGAAATGGAAGAGAGGAAGAACTTCAGAATCTTTACCTATACTGACTTCGATCGGTATACCAACTTGGAAGAGGTACTGAAATTCAGTAATTTCTAATTTTTTTACTACAAATGATCGACAATTCGTCAGACCAGGATCAATTTGAATTGCTTAAAGCAGACAAATCCTGATCTTTCAGTTAATGAAAGCTCTGTGCTTTTCTGGAACTTCAAAACCAGATAATATTGTGTGTACGGTACTCATCGTAAACATCTGATAGTGTCTGTTCCTCAGGTACTGAAAATTGAATAAAAGAAAGTGAAAAAGTTTGAGGAGGGGAATTGGAAGTGCAACCTGATATCCTGCTTGTGACATACAATTGTTTAACTGAAGAATAAACGCTGTTGTGCTTTCCTGTAATTGGAAAATGTCTCTAGAATAAGCAAAACAATGTACTGTGGTTGATTAACTTAGTGGTAGACATGATCTTGAGTATTGAGCCACACCACCTGGTCAGAAAGAGAATTGAATATGGATGAAGATGAACCTCAGGAGTAAACAAAAAAACTATAATTTAGTGAGTTATATTTTGCATCAAGCTTCCATTATAGTGTCTGCCTCAGCTGACTCCAACTTTTTTTGGGGTCTTCTCCCAAATACTTTGCTTCTTTGTGCCAAAGACTACTTTGTAATCAAGACCTTGTTCCTTACGAATGGGAATATTATTTTTATGCATTTAATGGTGATTTGTTATTGGAAAATTTCTGACAATTACTGTTGGTATAAATAGTAAGCTACAGAATTATTAGCAAGCTTGCTGATGTTAGAATAGCAGAAGGATGTCACCAGATGTTGTAATTTGAGATGCATTACGTGATCCTACATTTTGCAAGCATTGTGCAGTTGCAGTATTGTTACACCTTTCTATTTTGATGTCATGGAAAATGAATATTAAATTTAAGAGAAAAATTTAAAAGGCGTCTTTGTACTGTTAAATGTTGCTGATAGAACTCTTAATATTGGATCAATATTTCTGGAATGGTGCAGATCCCCTGCGTTATACGAGTAGAAAATCTTTGTTGCAGCATATTGCTGGGGCTGTGAGAGTTGCGCATCAATTTATCTAAAAGTTTTGAGAGTGGTCATTACAGTTTTGTGCACAATAACATAGTGGTTATGTTGCCGATTTAGTAATTCAGAGGCCTGGACTTGTAGTCAGCCTTAAAAGTGGAAGTCCCATGGCATTAATGAACAGGCTGAAGACCAATTCTGGTACACTATAAAATTTCTGTAACAGAACAGGAAAATATGCCAAGGAATTTTTTCCAACTTTTAACAGAAAATTATACATAATATTCAACAAAAAGCTACATATTTCTAAACCTACACACAACATAAACAGAGACCTATAAAAATATCGTCAGATGCTCACCACCATTTCAATGAAGTTACAAAAAGATATGTGATTTCCCAGAGGGATTTGTTGATTTGTTTTTTGCTACTGGAAAGTTTGTGACTCAGGTGTGGAATTGGATTGTTCTGGAGAGTCAGTCATAGTATAAGAAGATGGCAACTTACTTTGCAATAGTAAAATGTCATTTGGGAAAGGAAATCTGCCAACCTCACCATGTTGGACCTGCGTGTGACTCCACACCCAGATGCAGTGTGGTTGACTCATGACTGCCCTTTGAAATGTCCTAACAAGCAGTTCATGGGCAGCTAGAGATGGGCAATAAGTGCTGGCCAGCCAGTGACACCCACGTCCTATGAGTAAATAACAGGAACAGAATATGATCGTGTCCCAAAAGGTGCACAACAGCTTGACAGTTGATCTCCCCCCACCGTCAGTATTATTGATTTCCAATTGTAGGGCTAATTCCTACATGTGCCATTAGGTACTTCACACAGATGATTCCATGCTTTCTTTTAGTCTCTTGTTTTTTTTTCTTTATCCCTTATTGGGATAAGGGTGTTGCTGGCTAGGCAGCATTTATTGCCCATCCCTAATTGCCCAGAGGGCAGTTAACAGTCTACCACATTGCTATGGATCTGGAGTCAGATCAAGTAAGGGTGACAGTTACCTTCTCTAAAGGACATTAGTGAACCAGATGGGTTTTTCCGACAATCAACAATGGATTCACGATCATCGTTAGGTTATTAATTCCAGATATATATTGAATTCAAATTCCACCATCTGCCATGGCGAGATTCAAACCCGGGTCCCCGGAACATTATACCACTAGGCCATCGCCTCCCTTGTTGGGAGCTTCAGGAGCAGTAACAATTCCTGCAGGTTTGGCTCTCTGCTGCTGTAAGTACCTAGACTGAGGTCAGAACTTTACTGAACATAGTTATGTTTCTGTTGTTATAATTGATGTGGAGGATCTGTACAAACTTCTCACCCACTTGGGTAAAGGTAAGAGACCCTGACCACTCGTGCTATCTCTGGACATGTTGCAGCTGCACTGAGAGCAGCCCAGGCTTAGACTGCAGGAGCTGGCACTTTAATAATAGCAGACTGAGAACCCTTTGACTTCTGATGAGATTTAGTGATGGAGCATTGAATTCTGAGTATTTGCAATATGACGTTTTTCTGCCTCTTTGTCCTGCCATTTTAAAGAAGTGCTGAAAGGGCATTACCTCAATCAGTGGTAAGAAGCGGTGCTGGATAGAGAGGAGTGTCAAGTAGAATCATCGTTTTGTTGGACCCCTTGAAACATTCTAAGGATCCACAGACCCATTAAAGTAAATTCCTAATTTACAGACAAACAGGCTATTTGGTGCAACAATCCTGGTGTTGTAAACCACATGAACCTTCTCTGAACCTATTTCACTTAAAAGGGCATGTTGATGATCTTATAACAAAAGCAAAATACTGCAGATAGTTGAAATCTGAAAGAAAACCGAGTGTGCTGGAGAAACCAGTAGGTTTGACAACATCTATGGTAAGAGAAACAAGTTAATGTTTTGATTCAATTTGACTTCAGAATGGAAGAGCGGTGGAGTCCTTGGTTGAGAAAAAGGGAAAATATGCCAGAATCATAATGGCATCATTGGAATAGATGTGATGGAGGTTGGGGAGCTGGGAGAATGGAATGGAATGGATTCTTTAGACAGGAAGCACAGTGTGAGAATGTGGAGTCGAGGTAACTATAGTAGTGGTGGGTTTGTCATGAATATTAGCTGACAGCACTTTCATGTGTATGAAAACACAGAAGTCAAAGAACGGGAGGAAAGAGTGAGCGATCAATCAGATAAAGGTGAGAAAAGGATGAAAATTTGAAGCAAAATTGATTTGTTTTCTAATTCCAGATGAAAACAGGAAGTAGAAATGATACAGTCTTTGATGTACCAGAGAAAGCTGTTCTGGTACAGTCACAACACTGGTATCTACCCGGCAGTGTGGAAAATTGCCTAAGTATGTCCAGTACACAAAAAGTAGGACAAATCCAGCCCTGCCAATTATTCTCCCATCAATCTACTCTCGGTCATCAGTAAAGTGATGGAAGATGTCATCAACAGAGCTATCAAGTAGCACCTGCTGAGTGATGCCCAGTTTGGGTTCTGCCAGGGCCACTCAGCTCCTGACCACATTACAACCTTGGTTCAAACATGGACAAAAGAGTTGAATTCCAGAAGAGAGGTGAGAGTGACAGCCCTTGACATCGAGGCTGCACTCGACCGATGACTGCATCAAGAAGCCCTGGCAAAACTGGACTCAATGGGTACTGGGGGCAAACTCTCTGGTGGTTGGAGTCATACCTGACAGATAGGAAATTGGTCATGATTATTGGAGGCCAATCATCTCTGCTCCAGGACACCTCTGCTCTCTGCAGGAGTTACTCAGGGTAGTGCCCTAGGCCCAACCACCTTCAGCTGCTGCTTCAATCACCTTCCCTCCATCATAAGGCCAGAAGTGGGGGTGTTCGCTGATGATTACACAATGTTCAACACCATTCGTGACTCCTCAGATACTGAAGCAGTCCATGTTCAAACGCAACAAGATGTGGACAATATCCAGGCCTGGGCTGACAAGTGGCAAGTGACATTTGCGCCGCACACATGCCAGGCTATGACCATCACCAGTAACAGACAATCTAACTACCACCCCTTGACATTCAATGGTGTTACCATCACTGAATTCCCCCACTATCAACATCCTGGGCATTATCATTGACTAGAAACTCAACTGGACTCACCACATAAAACCAGTGGCTGCAAAAGCTAGGCATACTGCGGCGACTAACTCACCTCCTGACTCGTCAAAGCCTGTTCACCATCTACAAGGCACAAGTCAGGAGTATGATGGAATACTCCCCACTTGCCTGGATGAGTGCAGCCCCAACAACACTCTCAAAGCTTGACAACGTCCAGGACAAAGCAGCCTGCTTGATTGGCCTTACATCCACAAGCATCCAGTCCCTCCACCACCAATGCTCAGTAGCAGCAGTGTGTACTATCTACAAGATGCAGTGCAGAAATTAGCCAAAGATCCTCACTCAGCACCTTCCAAACCCAAGACCACTTCCATCTAGAAGGACAAGGGCAGCAGACATATGGGAATGCTACCACCTTCAAGTTCCCTCTAAGCCACTTGCCATTCCTTTACTGTCGCTGGGTCAGAATACTGGAATTCTCTCCCTAATGGCGTCATGGGTCAACCCACAGCAGGTGGACTACAACAGTTCAAGAAGGCAGCTCACCACCACCTTCTCAAGGGCAACTAGGGATGGGCAAGAAATGCTGGCCAGCCAGCGAAGCCCACATTCCACAAATAAATAAAAAAAGAAAAGTGTTGTGGGAGGGAACCTGAGTAGAAATGAACAAGAAAAATTCTGCAAGTTCTACTAAAAGACAGGCAAAACTAAGGCCCATCCAGATTAACTGCCCATTTAACTGGAAGAAATGAGACAAATTAAAGGAGAAATTGTTTGGTGAGAGAAGAGGTTGTACCTGGTGGCCTGGATGTGAACTGTTGAGGCCTTCGTTTAAGAAATAAGTGGAGATCCTTCAGACTGTCTTGGTGAGGGGTGGAGGTATAAGGGGGATTAGGTATCCATAATGAAGAGGTGTTGGTTCAGGCCAGAAAACTGCAAATTGTTGAGATGTCAAAGGGCATCAGAAGAATCGCAAATATAATTGGGAAGAGATTGGACCAGGGTAGAAAAAGAGAGTCAAGGTGGGATGAAATAAACTGGGGTGCAGGAATAGACTGGAATGATGGCTCTGGAAGAGCAGTTCTGTTTCTGGATTTGGGAAAGAACATACTACCCCAACCTAGCATAGAATATTTCCTATGAGGTGGCTGCTGTGGAGGGAAGATCTCTAAAGGAGATGAGGCCATTGACAATTTGGAAATAATGACTTGATGTTCATTTGTGGGGTCACAGTCCAGGGGAGATAGGAAGAAGTTCTGATAGTTGACAGTCAGCCTCTGCCACATAGAAGACTGTATGCCAGATGACAACTGCACTATCCTTGTCAGCAGGTTTATTAACAAAGTGAGGGTTAGACCTCAGAGAACACAGTACAGCAAGTTCAGAGGTAGTCAGCAGAGATACTTAAGGTAGTCGTTATCACGCTGACAATTCTTGATGATGAGATCAAGAGTGGATAAGAGATCAGAGGGAGGAGTCCAGGTGGAGGGAGAGTATTGGAGACAGGTGAAAGGGTCTGTGGATTTGAGGACAGGACTTCTGGCCGAAGAAATAGGACTGGAGCCGAAGGTGACTGAAGAAGGGTTTAATGTTTTGCTGCTCCAGAAATTCATTAAGGTGGAGGTGTGAAGAGATAAAACTGAGTCTTGTACAGAGTGCAGATTATTCAGCATGGGAGAGCGGAAACTAACTATAGGGAATACACAACAAAAGATGGGATTAGTAGAAAAATGGAATCAGAGGTTCTGGATGGGGAAAGGATCAAGAGGAACGTTGATGTCCATAAATTGTTGGAGCTTGCATTCCTTCACACCAT